GACATTGTATTTAAAGTTTTGAAGAGTTGAGGCCGACATCTAGAGATTTTTCTAATTGGCCCCTTTGACTTATGTTGGGTGATGAAATGCTAAAACTGATGCAATTAAAATTTTGGCTCTTTTAATTTGTATCTAATGCAATGCATGCTGGTCGACAACTTCCAAATCAAATATGCTTGAAATTTTAAAAACAGACTTATAAAATATTTTTTTAGAAGACTGGGCTTCTCTAGGTCCGGCACCTCGTCCTCATAGGTCAGACTATCCAGACTCTACCCGTAGGTGGGGAAGGGTCTAAAACAAGGAGAGAGTAATGCAAAAATATGCATGCGACCTCGGGGTCGATCCCTGGCTAATTCCCTAAATTCGTTATCTTTCTATGTTATTTAGGCTCACTAAAATTTTAAACTTTAAGGTTATAAATATAAAATCTTCACACCCTCACGAGTCTAACGTATCCAGGCGAAAGAAAAAGCGGCACACAAATGCAAAAAAACTAAGAAAAGTAGGCAATCCTAAAGGCAATCATCTCAACACATCAAATATAAATAAATTAATTTTAATGAATTAATTAAATTTAGGAATTATCTAAGTGCGTTAACTAAGGGGTCAAAAGTTAACTTTTTGAATTAGAGTTAATCTTAGAGTTTTTAAATTTTTAATAAATACTAGGCCTTAATACGAGTTGTTAGACTATTAGCACGCTCAATTTGGAGTTTTATATAAAAAGTTATGATCCTTCAAAGTTTGATCCTAAATTTGAACTACGGTTGACTGATTTGTTAACTTTTTTCTATCTGAAAAGATTTTAGTGGTTTGACATTTTTAGAAAATACTAGATCTTAATTGGAGTCATTAGCCATTGATTTTGAGTGATTTGGAATTTTCTACAATTAGTTATGAATTTTTAAAGTTTTCTTAATTATTTGAATTTTGAAATTCTTTAATTATGAAGGTTTTGATCATTTTGATCCAAACTCATGCCAAACTACATGTAATCATTCCCAAAGGTCAGGTATGCCCATGGGAGTGTTTCCAATTATTTGGAAATTATTTTGGATTTTTTTAATAATTTTTAATTAATTAAATTAATTAATTATTATTTTTCATTAGAAATTCAATTAAAGTTAAATTGAAGGTCCAGTCAAGGGAGTTTTATTTATTTTAAGTAGAGAACTATGTTATGGTCAATTTGAGATATTATTTGTATTTTTTGGATTAAAATTTGATTTATTGTAGTTTTTTAAATTTTTTGAGTCCTTAAATGGGCTGAATTTTGAGAAGGATAATTTTCTAATCTAATAAGCTCCAAAAACTCAGTTAAATTTAAAACTATGGTTCAAAATATCACTAAGTTTAAGGTGTTTGAGTTTCACCCCTATTGGGTGTATGTATAGCTCCATAGAAATTTTCTAAGGTTTCTAGACATTTTCTTAATTATTTTCCTTAAGTGTCCCTACTGTTCAAATGAGCATGAAATTTGGTGTGTCTAACCTTGGTACACATACATTCACATCACAAAAATTTCACAGAAAAATACTAAGTATCTATAGAGTTATGAATTTTCAAAGTTTAGGGTCCAAAATGGACCCTTTAACTTAAAAATTCATATCGTAGAAATCCATTGGGTATCTAACCCTAAGAAAATTAATAAATATGTTTAAGATACCCAATAATCATTCACCAAAATTTGGACTCTATTTGACCACAGGATTGTGAGAAAATTATAAAAAACTAAATTCAAACAAATGTGAATATCTCACAATACAGAAATCAAACCAGCCTAATTTTAATTTTAATAAATACTAAATTAAATATCTTTCCAACAGGCCCATGAACACAAAATTTGGTGACATAATGGATTTTCTATGAATTTTAGAAGTTCTGGCTATTTAATTTGAATTTTTAATTGAATCTGACTAAAACATGTTCTGGGGATCCGCTGCATGGATTGGCGGACAAGACATGCTACCCGGCGCTGCCCTAGACGTTCGATCGTGTAGAGGGCACGACCGGATGGCTCTGATTGAGCCAGATTCAACAGTTCAAAGTTGAACTGAAATTTCAATTAGCCATAACTTTCAAAATACTCGTCCAAATTGAATGAAATTGAAAACGTGGCTAGAGGACAATGTATTCTTCCAACACATAAAGTTTGGAGGCTTAATGTGTTGTAGATTTACTACAGTTTCAAATTAATGTTTTAGAGAAAAGTTGCGATATTTTACAATCCTGTGGGCGGATTTTGATGTACTTAGGCTCGTTGGAAAGCTCGTGATATCCTCTACAATGTTGCTGAAGGACCCAAGAACGTTTGATGGTCAGATCGAAAACTGATATAGGAATATCATTTTTTCTCTCTTACTTTCTCTCTCTTCTCAGTTTTGGTTTCTAGCTCAAGTAACACACCCTCTAATGGCTGGAAGAAGCTTATTTATAGGGGAGAAGCTTTTTTATGCATTGGGGTATGTTGTGGGCTGCGAGATTAGAGTTTTTTTGGAAGGTAGGGGGTGAGGACAAAGTCTTGAGTGAAGAGTAGAGTTCTTCCCACCACTTCTCATGATTACTCCCTAAAACATGATAAAGGGGAGATATTAATGGCCATCAAACGTCCCTTCCAGCCATCAATTTGCATAGAACTTGAGTTATCAAGTGGGCTTGGCTTACCAAGGTGATAAAGCCATTCATTAAGTAGGTTTGACCACTTTGACTAGTCAAAATGCCACATAGGTTGATGAGGTGGCATAGAGAGTGTTATGAGTTGCTGGAATGATAGGTTGAAGAGGGTTTGATGCCTAGGAACGAGGCTTGAAGGCAAGGAAGGAAGTTTAAGCTAGTTTGACAAAGTCTAAAGGTGTTACTTGGTCAAAATGATCATGGATTTACTCATGTCATACCAAGGGATATTTAAGATGTTAAATGAAGTGGATTCAAAGGTTCTCAAATCATTGAGTGAACATGAGTGAAGTGGATTCAATCTTGAGTCAAATATTAGACCTTATATGAGGCTTATCAATTGAGTGGAAAGGTGTATTCAATATATGGCTTTGATCATAGGTTTGACCATGTAAAATCAAGATGACTTGGCTTCAACTAAGTTTGAATGGATTTGACTCAAGTTTTGAGATGGGTTTGAAAGCTTAAGGGGTTTTGATTTGATCGAATGGGTTAGAATAATCATTTAAAGCTTTAAGGGGTACTTTTGTCAATATAGGTTGACTTGGTCAACCAAGTAGACCCAAGATTTGTAATTGGGTCCAATAAGTCCCAAAAATTATTTGAAAATATTTAGAAAAGGTTTCAAAGATTGATAATCAAATCAAGTCAAGTCTAGGTTAAAAGTCCAAAAATTCCCTTAAAGTGGCATTTTGGTCATTTTGGCCCTGAGTCAATTCTGGGTCAAATTGATTCTGGAAAGATGTGGATTATTGCTTAAAAAGTCAATACCAAGGTCCTGGGAGTGATCAAAGGATTTGGAGGGGGTCCAAGGTCAAATTCTACTGGGTGAAAGGTCCAGTGGCATGGACTGTAAATATTTGAAGGTTTTGCAATCATTAAAATTGGATTTAGTTTATGGTGTTAAAGTCCTCCAAATGAGTTCAAATTTGGAGGGTTGGCCCTATAGGTATGTCGCATCAATATAGAATTGACAGACCCTAAATCAGATGCCAATTGACTAGGTTTTAAGGTGACAGAAAGATCACCTAGAAAGGGCTTTAGGACTAAGTCTTTAGCCTAAGAGTTCTGGGTTTGGATTGAGTTAAGATTTGAATTGAGCCTAAGGGCTAGGAACTAGGAAGATCCTAGAATCTAGGACTCAGGGAGGAGTTAAGAGTGACCTCATACAAAAATGAGGTCAACAGTGTCATAACAACCTATCAAACATCCATCACCTCTAATGTCGCACTTCCTCCCTCAAAATTGTGCCCTAACACAAGTGTTAGATGTTCTCCTATTTTCTTATATAGCCCATGATCGATTAGGTTGCACACTTCTCTTCCTTGTCAAGCTCCTTAATTTGTCACTTAATGTTCTCTTATCTTGCTCGTTGGGTGATGTGTGAGGGTAATTAGATCGACGTGTGAATGACGATGCGACCAATGATAAAGCACAACAGAGCTGATGTTGTGATGACGAGATTGCAGTGAAAAATGTTAGAATATTTTAATTGTTATGTATATAATTACTAAAATTTAATTATTACCTATATTAAAATAATATAAATTTCTATATATAAATTCCCATAAAAAATTATCAATCAAATTTGTTTATTTTACATCATAAGCATTTTAAATTTTGTTAGAACATTTTAAATTATATGTAAATAAAAAAAATTAAATCAAACTGCCACTAGCCCTAGTCGTTTAGAAGATTTTCTCTCCCAGTAACACCCATTTCAATCCACTTCAATCACTCAAGCCAGTAAATTTCGCGATCTCCTTGCTAATCCCCACCACCGCGGCCGCCTCTCACGTCCGGCCGGTGGAGGTACATGAAGCTATGACTTTCTTGTTTATTTCCATGTGAAGCGACTTTCTTTATTCCTTGTTCTCTGCAATGGACCTTCCTGTTCGGCGATCGAGCTACACCCTCCTCAACCAGTTCCCTGATGAGCCACCACCACCCCAACTAGAGGTCCAGACAACCGAGAAGAACCGCGGGAAAGTTCCCTTCGACTGGCCACTCAGTTCCGACGCCAGTGAAGCCGCCGAGCTCCGCGGTGGGGTGCGGATCGGCCCTCTCTTTCCCTCGATTGGCCTCCAGAGACAGTCCAGTGGAAGTAGTTTCGGGGGGAGCTCGTTCTCTGGAGATTACTATCTCCCGACGACGCTTTCGTCCATGTCAGCTACCATAGGCGCAGATGGGTTCAATCCAATAGCAGCCGTCGGTGGCGGGGAGGTCAGGGTGAAGGAGGGGGGCGAAGCAGTCGTCTTGTCTTCGTCTTCGAAGAGCTGGGCACAGCAGGCTGAGGAGGCCTACCAGCTCCAGCTTGCCCTGGCTCTTCGACTATGCTCGGAGGCCAGCTGCGCCAATGATCCCAACTACTTAGATCCTGGGGATCATATGCTTTTGGCTGAGCGGGCTTCCCCCGAAACCACGTCTCATAGGTTTTGGGTATACCTTTCTATTTTATTAATTTTTTTTTTAATCTAAGAATTCCTTCTTTAATGCATTTGAGAATATTTCTTTTTCTTGGCTCTTCATAGTTTCCAGGACTGTATATTTAGCCTTTAAATCTTGAATGTACTGCCAAAAAAAAATAGAGTGCTTTTATAGTTGAAATGCTAAGCGAGAATGAATGAGATGAATTAACTCTATGAAGGGAAGAAATAGTTTTGCATATGAAACTTCTCTTTCTCCACTTGGCTGTGACAGTAGGGGTAATATTTAGTCTTTTACTTTGGTGTTATTGAAGGGCTAAGATCTATAAGCGAAGAACAAAAGTTTTCCATCTATCTTACTTGGCTATTTTACTAATTTGTTCTTGTGAGGGGTGCATTGTATGTGGAATTTTGTTCCTTCCCATATTTAAGAAGCCATGTTTAAGTAAAACAAACTACTACAATATGCAAGTTACCCGGGAGCATTATTTTGATAAAAGGTTGTTGCACATCAGTTGCAGGAAAACAGAAATAACCTCAGAATTGCTGATTTGATTGTATATCTTTGGCTTGGTTGGATTGTTTGTTAGCTCTAGATTGTTGTATTGCGAGCTCATTTGGAGAGTTAGAAGGGATGCTTTCTAACTGATAAGAAAATATTTTAGTACTGTTATTGTTGAACTGATAAACCTAGCAGTCTTTGAAATATCCACCAATGCTTCTAGTAGCTAAAATTACATTGAGATGGTGTTTGTTTATAATATTCAGAAGATAGATTGAAATTTCATCCATTAAAAAATAGGGTTATAAATGAATGCTTCTCCTTTCTTTCATTGCTTGAAGAAGACAGGAAGAGATGGTGTTGGTGAGTGACTACTTGCAAGTAAAGAAGCAGATCTTGGTTGATCAACATTACTTTGTGTGCAGGTTACGGTTTACATATTTAGGAAGAGGACCCAAAATGAGAGAGAGAGGTGGCTGTTAGGCTTGTGACCATTTGTGGGAAGCAAAAGAAAGAGAAGCGAGGTGGAGAGGGAGATAAGGATATAAAGGGGGAGTTAAAATATGCATGATTTTGTGAATTGCAAAACAAAGATGGCATAGTAGGATTATGAGGTGGAAGAGGTAGATGACAAAGAAGGCATTGGTGGGAGTCCCTGAAGGAGGAAGACGATAGATTAAGTAATGGCTATGAGGAGGAAGAATATAGAGCAAGAAAAGGTTGTGGAGGAGGATAGTTGAACTAGCTTTGAGCTCAAGTAGATTTTTTTTAATACTTAGGGTTTTATTATGCAAATATATAAGTGAGAACCATTGGATAAAATATTATTTATTGAGAAGAGACATGAGATGAGGAGGTGGATGAGTGGCTTCACCCTTAGAGATAGGATACAAAATGAGCATATATGTTAAAAGGTTGGAGTAGCTCCAGTGGAAGATAAGATTAAGAGAGTCGGCTTAGATGGTTTGGTCACATAAAATGGCGGCCGTCCGATGACCCGCGGTTAAGAAAGTAGAGGTGTTAGATTTGGCTTATGTTAAGAAAGGTAGATGTAGACCTAAAAAAACTTGGTTATAAAATATTAGAAATGATCTTTTTTTATTAGATTTAAACAAGAAATTGACTTTTAACTGGAAACAGTGGAGAAAAAGGATTCATGTAGCCGACCCCATGTAGTGGGACAAAGGCTTAATGTTCTTGTTGTTGTTGAGAAGAGACAATGTACTATATTAAGCCGGGTAATCAAGCTCTTCCATACTGATTATTTTGTTAATCAGGACTGGTCGTCATTGTGGTTCTTGGATCATAAATCAACTTATTGATAGGCATGCTTTCTAATTTAATTAGTGACTAGATATAAGCCCGTGCTAGATACCTTCAAGCTGAGAGCAATTGCAGCAATACTGATGAAGAATGAATGTAATATGTGTTCTGATGGATTGCTTCTCTTGATCCTCTGAAGTCTATGTTTCTTTATTCATTGATTTTCTAGTGATGTCATCAGGAAGTTTGGAGGAAGTCAAAAGTAGTAATTTTCTCTGACGGTTAACAATCACATACACCGTATTATTGCATGTCTTCCATGGATGCTGGATCTGGGAAATAAATCATAGTCCTTTGCTTATCTGTAATTTTTTTTCACTGGCACTTTATCTTGCTTATCCTTTTTTTATACATGGTTTTGATAGGATGGGCCTATGTGGTACCAGTTGAGGTGACAAAAAGGGTAATAATGGATTATTTCCAAGAAAATGTACGGTCTATGAAGCAAAGCTAAATAAACTTAAAGTACTTATATCTTTCTATTTATTTTAAAAAAGAATCAAAAGATAGGGGAGTGGTTTGACTTAAGGGACATGCATGTCTCTGAAAACTGAAATTTTACTTTAAAAGACCACCTATTGCCTTGTTTGTATGCACAAGTAATAGAATTTTTTTTTAACATAAAATTCTGAATAGACTTGCAAATTTATATTTTCATATACTTTTTTCATCGCTTCCAGGTTAATGGTTCCTTATCATACAATGATAAAGTTCCAGATGGCTTCTACATGATTCAGGGAATGGATCCTTTTGTCTGGACTCTGTGCACTGATGTGCAAGAAGAAAGTCGGATTCCAACAGTTGAATCTCTAAAGATTATTCAGCCAAGTGAATCATTAATTACTGTAATTCTTGTAGATAGATGCAATGATCCTGAATTGAAGCAATTACTTAATCTGGCAACTGGAATTTCTTCCCGCTTTCCCACTACCAAGGAGATTGTGGAACATATTGCCAAGCTCGTCTGCACTCAGATGGGGTGGGTTATTAAAGCTGTGTGAATGATTGTGATAAATATATGTACCCTTTTGTTTCTTAAATAACTTAAATTTAATTGTACTCACAAGGGGTGCAGCTATGGATGAAGAACATGGTCTGCTCCCTAGATGGAAAGTGGGCAGTAAGGCTCTCAAGGACTCTTCACGTTCTGTTGTTATCTCAGCGGGGAAGCTATCTATTGGACTTTGCAGGCATCGTGCCTTACTATTTAAAGTAAATTTTAAGTTATTCTCTGTACATTGTATGCTCATTCTACGCTATCTTTTATGGATAAGTTTAAATGCTACCTTACTATGGATACTATTAACATGAATCTGAACTGTTGCTTTATTCATTTCTTCAAGCATTTCATATTTATTTTTTTTTCATTGACAAAATTGGCGGTCTGCACTTTCCCTAAAAACTATTTAGGGTCCATTTGGTTGCTCGTAGATAGAAAACATTATTTAGAAATTGATTGATTTTATATTCACTCATTTTTACTATAAAAACAAAATTATTTATTTTGAAGACTTTGTATTATTTAAAACCAATATTGACAAAATCAAACAAAATGACAGAATCTCATACATTCATCATTTTTCATTACCAAGTAAGTCTAAAAATGGTATCCTTTGTTAATTCTATGACCAACTTTAGTTTGTTTTATTACTGCTATTATGACACGTGCAGATTTTAGCTGATGCAGTCCATTTGCCATGCCGAATTGCAAAGGGATGCAAATTTTGTAAACGCGAGGATTCTTCATCTTGTCTAGTGCACTTCGGCCTTGAAAGGTATGGTTTCTTTCTTAAACACCGTTATTTGCATTATGAATAAGTGCTAATAGGTATACTTTTTTTCTCTACTTTTTCTAACTCAGCATCCGAGCTAAAGCCAATCATTTTACATTTGTATTTATATACCCATTTCTATTTAATTATCCGTGAAATGCATGCAAGATTTCTTTAGTAGAACTATTTCTAAGATTACCTGTAGAACCTTCTCCACTAGAATAGGATAAACTAGTGCATATGGTTATGGTTGCGCCAGTTTAACAGAGTAATTCTTTTGGTTAGGCAGCCAAAGATGGTTTTTTGGAAGATACCCTTAATCAATTGATCTACATGCCAAACTATGTTCGGATATCATCATGCTAGAAATCAAGAAGCACCGTTATCCTCCAATTCTCTCTTTCTCTCTCTGTCTCAACCAACCCTGCTGTTTTTAGCACCTCTCACCTCTGCTTTTTCTCCCTCATAGGAAGCATATGGAGAAGGATTTAATCCTAAGTGCAAGGAGTCTATAATAAAGAGAAGAGTAATGAAAATGAAGAGAAGAAAGTTGAGGGAATTTCTACATGTCTATGAAAACCCATTGTTTTTTATCATCTCATTACTTCACAGTCCAGTATCAGTATCACCTTTACGTTTCCTCTACAATGAGTCTATGGAAAGCCCGTTGTTTTTCGATCACTGCACTACCTCACAGTCCAGGATCACCTTTACGAGAGTCTATGTGGAGATTAGTACCATGCCTTCCCCCTCCCTAATAATGTCATCCTCAATTTGGATGGCTTTCTTCGGGAGCAGGAGGTGCTTTAAGATTGGTAACCCCTCCTGTTCAACATATCAATCCTTCCTCCACTCTCCTCAAGGACCTAAGCCTCCATATAACATCAATGCCATTGCTGCTTATCCTTAGTTTTGAGGAGTTATTCCAAGATGAGAAAGAGCATGCCGCTCCCTTTACAGATTATTACTTGTCTGTTATGTTTGAGTTTTTGTGTTCATATGTTCATGAGATTTTATATATTGTCTTTTTATACTGGTTTCTTTTAATCTGTAACAATTGCAACTTGGCAGGGAATACTTAGTTGATTTGATTGGAACTCCTGGTTTCTTATGTGAGCCAAGTTCCTTAATAAATGGTCCATACTCGGTCACAATTTTATCACCTTTGCGTCCTCCAAATTTAAAGTCAGGTGATGTAGCTGAGAATTTCAAATCTTTGGCCAAGCAGTATTTTGTGGATTGCCGGTCTTTGAATCTGATGTTTACTGATGCTTCAAAAGGTGACTCTTAACAGGCTACTTTAACTTAGAACATTAATCAGTTTTCAATACCTCTTGTTGGTTTATGCTGCTGTATTGTTGTATTGATCTTGGACTCTTTGGTAGCAGGATTTACGCAGGATTTTAGCAAACTGAGCAAACTGTCTCAACTCAAAATATATCCTATGCTGGAAATCTTATTTGACCTTAGTCCCATCGTAAATCCCGAATGCACTAAATCGGCCGGTTTGACAGATTTATGTGATTTGGACAAACAGAAACGCATGGTCCATTGCCTTCACCAGCAATCTTTTATTGTGACTTTTTTTTTCATCAAGGATTTCATTGATGTAGTGAGCTCCTGTCGTGACTTCCTTTTTTTTTTGTCTAGGATTTTCAGAGGGGGGCACAAGTATTTCAGTTAATTTCATTAAATAGAATTTTTTAATTAATTTTTAATAATTAATATTAATAAATTAAAAAATATTAAATTAAATAAATATTCTTTGTGATTTAGGCTTTGTTTGGGACAACTTTATTACTATTTTCTAAATAGCTTTTTACTATTTTAAAATGGCTTTCTAGTTCAAAATTTTCTTGTTCAATATATTTTTGTACTAAAAACTTCTTTAGAAAGCAGTAAAAAGATGTCCTATATGAAGTCTTGATTTGATTAAATAAAAATTGTATATTTAATTAATTTTATAAAATCTAAATTAGTGTTGAATTAAAAAATTATGTTATGTTAATTATAATTTAATTAATGTAAGTAGAATTGATAAAATAATTATTATTTAAAACTATTAATACTCTACAAAACAAATTAGATATAAATTCTATAATTTATAAATTAAATCAATATCAATGATTATTATTAGTAAATAAAAAGTTATTTTCAACTTAAATAAATTAATATTATTTTTATTTAATTTGATTAAATAGAAACTTTTGTTTAATTAGCTTAGTAAATTATTAAGTAATAATTAATTGATATATTATCTTATGCTAATTATGATTTAAATAAGCTAATTAAGATTGATTATGATAAGTTAATATAATAAAATATCACAATCATTTAATCCTTGAATTCTGAAAAAAAAGTAGCCAAATAATTTCCTTGGGTTTAGTCGGATTTTATCTCTATCATTGCAAACAATTTTTAGAATTTAACTCCCTCTAGATTTTGTAAATCTGAATTTATAGGATTTATTAAATTCTACTTGAGTTAAATCCTACTTGCAGCCAAAGAACCACTTAGTTTATGTAGAATCATGTGGCAATTTATCAACTGTTCATAAAGTAAACCCTTTGGTGCACATTATGCTTTAGTTTTTATTGAAAAGTATAAAAGAAGAATATTGCATCTTTTCTTATTCTAATGGACAGAAGAGAAACAATATTTATAGCTTAGAAAACCCATAAAAAAGAAAAAAATAGGATGATAATTAACTTAATTAATATAATCAGTTCAACATTTAAAATTTATTATTCATAAGAAAATAGTAGTTGGTGGACTACGTATGGAAGACAAAATAGTGATAGATTGTTAAGATTACTAATAATATGGTTGGTGGCATTTTATCTAATGGAGGTGTATTAGCTATAGATTGCCCTGGTTGCATAATGGAATTGAATGCAGAATTTGATGTACTATTTTTCAACGTTTCTATTCTCTCTCTTATACTGGGAATCTATATTGATCATTCCAAGATTCAAAATAAGATTGTTAAATTACAATTGATAAGAGCTTTAGTAACAATGTCAGTTGTTTGTTATTTTATTGGATTATAAATAATTTGGATAATTCCTTGTTTAATTTCTCCTTTATAAAGTTTGCATATATATTAACGTTCTTAGTCCTACCGTGATAGAAAAGATTCTTAGTAATGTTAATAGTGCCTTAGCATGGGTATAGCTTTGAATGCTGCCTTAGCACTACTTCAAGTAACAATTGATTGTTTCTTGTTTCCCTATTTAACTAACATTCCTCAAATGAATGAGCAATTATTTGATGTGGATTTACGATCAATTTTACATCCTGTTTAGCCAATATTAACGAAGATTTCTATACTTGTGTTAGTTGCCTTTTTGAAGACAATCCTTGTTTGGGTACCTTAATTTCTTATTAGCATCAAGATGGTCCTTTGTAGATCTATTCATAAACGGACTAACAACACTCACAAAGAAAACAAATATTAAGTCTAGCATAGAATATATGAATTTTCCTATTAATTGTTGGTACCTCCCTTTTTCAATAGGAGTTGGATCTTCCCTAATCCTAATTTTGTTAGTGAGTTTGTAGCCTTGAATCCAAGCATCCAAATTTTCTTTGCTGAGGCCAAAACATATTTCTGTTGAGAGACATTTATCCCTTTCCTTGATCTAGTTATTTCCATGCCAAAGACTTATTTTAATGAACCAAGTTATTTAATTTGAAATTTCTTAGCTAAGACACATTTTAGCTTGTTTATCTCCTCTCTATGGTCTTCTATTAGGATGATATCATCAACCTGAACTAGGATAGATATTTTACCTTCAGATTATTTCTTGGTGAATGAAGTATGATCAGATTGCTCTTGAGAGTACTCATTCCTTTCTATCACCATGGTGAAACTATTAAACTAAGTTTTTGGTGTTTGTTGTAAGCCATATAAAGATTTCTTGAGTCTGCAGATATGATTTGTATTACTCTTATTATTAAATTTAGGAGGATTTGCATTTGCGATATCAACCTAATCATCTAAATATCCATTTAGAAAGGCATTTTCATATCTGGTTGGTGGAGTGGCCAATGTAAACAAGCAGCAAGGAATAAACATCTGGGCAATGTTCATATTAGCAATCGGGGCAAAGTTTTCTTGGTAAACAATATCATAGATTTGAGTATAGCTTTTTGCCACAAGTCTTGCTTGCACTTTATATTTCACGTTGAATATCCATTTTCATCCACTAGCTTCCTTGCCTTTGGAAAGATTTAAGAGCTTTTAAGCTCCACTTCTTTGAAGGGCCTGCAATTTTTTTTATGAGTTGCATTTCTCTATTCATGAATTTGTTAACTGTCTTGAATGTTGTTAGGAATTTTCAAGCTAGACATATTTATAGTAAATGCATAAATTTAGGAGAGAGTTTGTCATAAAAGATATAATGGTTGGTTGGTTGATTGGAGATTTTCTTGAAAATAATGATAGGCATGCTAAGATTACTATCAAAGTTAATATCACCTCGTCTTTGTGAATCAATGTCAGGACTTGGGTTAGACATTGGGTTTGGTTCAAGAGAAATGCCTTGCTCTATATTGTCAGTTGAATTTTCCTGTTATTTGGAATAAGCAATGCCTTTATACTTTGCATGTTGTATGTGCTTTATAAAGGTTGAGATTAAGGTTGGTTTGAAGGAGGTGTAGGTTGAAATATTAATAAGATAAAACTAATATTATCACAAAACATACTCACTGAGAGACTTGATATTCTCCCACTAAATGTGAGTTTTAGGGAAGAAGGATTGATTTTTGAAGAAAGTTACATCTATGATGGTGTAATATTTTTTAGTAAAGTGAGAATAGCATTTGCATCCTTGTTGGTGAGAAGAATAGCCAATAAGAATATATTTTATAATTTTCTGATATATTTACTGCTTTAATGAGGAAGAATCTGTAAAATAGCCTAGCAATGAAATACTTTAGTAGGAGTGATTAGTTTTTGTGGGATATGCATGAGTGAGGGTTGGTTAATGAGTTTTGAATTTTGGAATTCATTATAACATAAAAATTAATGAGTATTTTTTGGATCCCATGAGCCTAATAAGATAATAGAATTTTGATGATTATAAATTTTATTTGTTGTGTTAATTATGCTAATAAATCTATATCTATAAGTCTTCTTTTATTTAAACTAATATTTTAGGTAAATCAGAAAAAGAAGATCAAATGATGTTAAAAACACTAAAAGGTAATCATAAAAACATAATAATCATAGATTAAGAATCAATATCATCAAAGAAGACCGCTCGAAAAATATAAATAATAATTATTTATTTTTTTGAGTCTTTTTTTTTTTAATTTTGGAAAGTATATGATTTGCCAAACAATCAAACAGACACGCACATGAGAATAAAATATTAAAATTGAAAATTAAAATATCATACTGGATGAATTAGTTTGTACTATACGATATACGTGGCATAAGAAAAAGTTCAAAAATATTAGCAAAAAAATATAGAGTTAATAAAAGCTAATTGTGTTATATGACTAGGGTCCGATAGTATGATTAATATTTATGTAAATTTAACTTGTTATTCATCTAGTATTTTCATAAATAGGTAAATTTAAATTTGAATATATCGTATTGCATGTTTCGTATTGTACTGTATAATCATCTATGATATTTACCTATTTAACATTCGAGGATTCAAGGCTGTAATTAAAGATCAAATTAACAATATTTTATACTATACGATACCGATTGTATAAAAAGACGAAGAGAGAACATGCTGGTACAAAATTTTATTGTACATATTGAATCAATGGAAAACGAACTAATCATAATCTACGATATATATTGTATAATCTGATGAAACAGAGAATGAATTTAGAATTTCGAGTTGGATGAACTAATCGTACTATACAATCAATAGATCAGATTTTATGAACAACCCAACAATTCCAGTAATCAACATTTTTTAGGGCTTCTTTTGAAGCCACCTTATAAATACTTAACTTTTAAGAAATCCTAGGAGGTGGTTGAGAGTTCTCTAGAGTTAAAGGAGTTTTTTGGGATTTGTGAGAGATTCTTGGGGTTCTAAGACCTGTTATGAGTTCTTGAGAACTTTGTGAAAGAGTTTTACATATCTGCAAAAGGCTTTAGAGATGATTGAGAGGAGAGATTTGGGAACCGTGCCTTAAGGTTTTTAGAGGATTCTTGAGTTTCGAGTAAGAATTTCACTTGGTTGTTTCTTTAAATCACATCCTTTATTCCTCTTTGTTTTGTAAAGGCTCTTGGTAGAGAGCTCTGGAGAGTCTTGGTGTAAAGGCTCCTAAGGTTTGAAGGCTTTTTGAGGAGAAGAGCAGGGTAAAGGTTCTTGCATTACCATATGAATGAGAGAGACTTCTTCGCCTTGTTGGAAGCAAAAGGAGAGAATTTTAGTGGAATTTTAAGGGAAGGATTTGGGCCATCTTTGACCAATCATGGGCCCAGTCGGCCAAGTCAACTATTGACTGGGCCAAGGTGACTGTCAGCCCCAAATCAGTAGGGTGTGCTCAAAGGGATTTTGTTGAAATTTGAGTGCATTTGAGTCTTGAACTAATAAAGAAAGGGCTTAATGGTTAACCTGGTCAACTATGGTTGACTTGATCAATTAGGTCAAACCAAGGGTTGGGTTTGTGCTCAACAAGTTTGATTTGATAAATGGATATCAATGGATGTGGCCTCCTGGGTTGGAAGAGTCATTTCAACCAAATTGATCATTTGGACCCTTAAGGGTCTATTTAGTCAACTAGGGTTGACTTGGTCAACTAGGTCAAACTAGAGCCTAGGTTTGGGTTCAACAGGTCCAAAATGACACTTTGAAATCAATGGAGGTGGTCCCATGCAAAGATGAGGCCATTTGGATTGGAATGACCATTTAAACCCTTAAGGAGTATTTTTGGTCAAAATAGGTTGACTTGGTCAACTAGGCTTGATCAGGATCTGGGTTTGAATCCAATGCGTTCTTAATGATGTTTAGGATGCATTAGAGAAGGTTTCGGGTTTGATTTGACTGGGCTATGTTGAAGTTTAAAAAAAACTTCAATTTTACTACCCTTAAGGGGTATTTTGGTCATTTTGACCACAGATCAATTGGGATTCAATTTTGATTCACCAAAATGCAGTTTACTGTTTTATACGTTATAATCAAATGTATGGATATGATCAAAGGTCTTGGAGGAGGCTCCAAGATCAAATTCCACATGGTGGAAGGTCCAGTGACATAGGACGTAAATATTTGAAGGTTTTGTAGCTTTTAGAAATATATTTAGTTTATGGGGCTAGAGGTATCAAATTGAGCTCAAATTTGGAGGGTTGACACAAGGGACATGCCTAATCAAAATGCAATTGATAGTTCATGAATCAGAGGTCATTTAACTAGGTTTTGAAATGATTGAAAAATCACTCAAAAAGGGTTTTAGGATATAGGCCTTTAACCTTGGATTTTGGTATGTCATTTTTAATTTGAGCAAGATTTTGGATTTAATTGATTGAATTTGAATTATCCAAATCAATAACAATCAATTAAGTGATTGTTAATGATTGGATATGATTGAAGTTAGATTGGAGGCTGGATCAAAGTCTGGACCGGTTGAAGTCTGGATTAATTAAAGTTTGATTGATTAAATGCTGGATTGATTTGTTGTCTGGATTGATTTGAAGTCTGGATTTACTTGAATCTGGATTGATTTCAAATTTGGATTTGAAGTTTGATTGATTAAATCCTGGATTGATTTGAGGTCTGGATTGATATTGAGTTGGAATCTAATTTGGATATTGAATTGAAATATGGGTTGATTTGAAGTCTAGGTTTGATTTGAAGTCTGGATTAAATCTTAAATTGAAGTCTAGATGATTGACACCTGGAGAAATGTCAACCATCAGATCAATAGCTCCCCCCTCCTCCCCTTCAAAATGTTAATTTTTTTTTTTTGGGATATTGCTAGTGATCATAATTGATCAAGTAACTTTCAGAAGTTGTTCAGTTTTTCTTTATGCTATCCCATTTCATTTAGGAGTAAGGATGCAACGAGTTTGATGAACAATTCCTTGTTGGATGAGATATTCTCCTAGAACTGAACGAAAATATTCTTTCCCACTGTTAATATGAAGGACTTGACTTTAGGTTTAGAATTAGGTATTTATGAAGAAGTGAAAAAAAAAAGAATTAGTTTAATACTTATCCTTCATTAGAAAGATCCATTAGTCGTAGTGTGACCATCAATGAATGATATAAATCACCTAGCGCTTAGATATTGTTCAGTCAAGATGGATCCCATATGCCAGTATGGTTTATTGCAAAGCGTTGTGAGGCTTTATATGGATGACTAGGGTAGGAAGCTCAGGCGTGTTTAGATAATATACAAATTTCATGTTGGAATGCCTCTAGATTTGTGTTAATAAAAAGAGAAGGGAATAATTTTCTTAGGCATGAAAATTCGAATGAGGAAGGCAAAAGTGTACAATGTAATTGTGTTTTGTCACAGGGAGATATATATTGAACATTTTTTACATGCTTTTTAGAATTTTCTTTATAATTTAGTAGGTAGAGATCAATATTTTCCTTCGCCTTCCCAATTATCCTCTTCGAGTTACTATCATGGAATTCATAATGTGTATGAAGAAAATTAATAGTCAATTCATATTCGTAATAATATTGCTTATTGATAATAAATTGTATGAAAATCTTAGGGTTTAAGAGAACGAAGTTAAGAACCAAAGAGCTTTTGACATTGATAGTCGCAATGCGGATCTATAGCCATTTTTATTGTAGTCCTTTATAAACTGTTGAAGGATTTGAAATAATGAGCAATCTCATGTCATATGATCAAAAGCTTCAGAGTCAATGATCCAATATTGGGAATTTGTGTTTTAGATAGTACAGGAATTTAGAGTTGTACTTTTTTGAGCAATTACGCTAATGATTAGTTTTAGTGCATAATGTTTGATTTGAGTTTGATAATCTATGACTTAGAGAAAAGGTTTCTTGGATAGCGGTATTATCATGAGATCTTGATTCATGACAGAATGCGATATAGAAGAGTATATTCTTTCCATGACCATTTTGTGGTCAACCATCAATATGGTTTAAACAAACAAAAAAATTTAGAGTAAAGGTGAGGAATATTTAGAACTGCGAGGGAATATGAAAAATAGATGAACAAAGCTCTGATTTATGTTGAAAAATATGATAAAAGAGTACTGCATATTTTCTTTATCCAATTTGTAGAAGAGATACAATATTTATTGGAGAGACATACTATAAAAGGGGCAAAATAGGAATATAATTAAAGTAATTAATTATAATCAAATTCAGTAATTAAAAATTTATTCTATATAAGAAAATAGTGTTTAATATACTGCATATTGAAGGGAGAATAGTTGTGAATTGCCAAGATGGCTAATCACATAATTGGCGGCATTTACATCCAATGGAGGTGCGGTATCTACGGATTGCCAAGATGGCACGAATCAATTTGATGTGCTATTTTCATGATTTCCACAGTTTTCTGGTTTTTCTCTCTGTTGTTATATTATTGTATATTTGATGGTTGACTTAAAAACAAAAGATTGTGCCTCTAGTAGATGATTTATGAAAAATACTATTCTTTTTACAGAGAACGTTACTTCTCATGAAGATAATATAGATAATGTATTGTTGAAGCATTATAATGGGAACTATGCGGAGGCAACTTCTCCTGCTGCAATGAGCGACCCAGAACTTTTTGAGGTCCCACAGCGTTATGTAGAAATGGTTGCACCTCCGGATGGCCGACATCGGGCTTCTCAATTGCAAATATGGAATAATCATATGATTTCTGACCAAGCGGCCACAGAAGCAAGTCAACTAAAACTTAATCCACGAGATGAGCAAAAGGATGCCTTACCAAATTTAGCCTATGATGTAAAGGCTAACATAACTAATGATTTGACTATTCCATGGAGCGATCTGGTCCTAAAAGAAAGAATTGGAGCAGGTAAACTTGCTATTTATCTCATTTCTTCCCTCAACTATGATTTTAAGAAAACTTTAAGTTTTGTTGACAGTTGCAAATGAGGTCATTTCATTGTTTGGAGTTTGACTTTGTTTCTTTCCAGGTTCTTTTGGGACTGTTCATCATGCTGAATGGCATGGCTCGGTATCTTTCTGAACATTGTAATTATACTTATTTTGTTTAATGTCAAATCTATTATTTTATTTACAATGTAGACAATTTTTATGTCCTCTAACTATTGTATTATACAAGGTTGTAAAAGCCGGACCGGAAAAGAGAGATTCAAGGATTAATGTTTCGATCGGGGTCGAACTAGATGACGTAATAAATATGAAAAATATTTAAATAATATCTAAATGATAAGATAACAATGTAATAATTTTGAAATAATATAAATTTTCAATTAAAAAAATAAAATTCATACATAAATAATCTATTCTATAATTTTAAATATAAATATAAATAATTATTAATTTATGTTATACTTTTAAATATAAATAATTACTAATTTTAAATTTAAATGTAAATATCCCT